ATTGTTAGCCTCTTTAATGTATTCTTTGATTTCCCAGATCATTGTGGCACCCCCTTTGTCAGCCTGTGTTATGATTAGGTCATCTCTATGTGTCAGGGTGTCAAGGGCTATACGTCCCCCTTCAGTAATATTGCTGTGTGGCAGCTTACGTGCTCTTGTTTTCTTTATGTTATTTGTTACTGCCATTTCAAATGTCTGTATAGTAATGTCTTTGTTTTGTGGGGTGAATGTAGAGTCCTTCTCTTTTAATGTATCAAATATGGAAAGCGTGTGATCATTGTCCCCGTAGTGGGCTTTTAGGGGTATTCTTTTGAAAAAAGGATTTCAGGTCCTTTGCTATGGTGTCTATATCAAACCTTGGGGGACTAGAGCAAAAGGCTTAGTCCTTTCTTTAATAACCTGAATGTGTGAAGTGAAAATTTATTGTTACTTAAATTTATAACTCGTCCATATGGGTCATGTTTGTATTTGCAAGCCATGCGAAGTTATTTCGTAAAAGCTCGAAAGCTTGCATCATGTCTTCTATTAGAGATGCTATACCCACGTCCAAGTGTTCTGGTTGGGGCTTATCCCGTTTTTTTGAAGGTTCAGTGTGTTTGCTCTTGATGGTCTACTAGGGGCTAATCTGTGTGTGTGTGTGTGTGTGTGTGTGTGTGTGTGTGTGTGTGTGTGTGTGTGTGTGTGTGTGTGTGTGTGTAAATACAAATGCATACAATATAAATATATAAATGTATATTTAAATAAGGTGTATTTAAGCGGCAAAAATTCATCCAAACAATTTTTATTAAATTCAGTCGACATGGTCTATCTAACTTTTTATTATATCTTTTCAATTTCTGAATGAAGTCTTGTACATCGGGATTGAAGTTATGAATAAATTTTCCAAAGTTCGTTTTTTTCTCTGATATATTCAAGTACTTTCAACTGTTACAGTCATTGTCAAGAACGGGGTGTTATAAGTATCGTAAGCAAGATTTGTAACTAAATTATGGCGTTTTTAGTCCTCTGGAAATGGAATTGCTATCAGCTAAAAGTGACGTCATAATTAACCGATAAACAGACAAACTTGTATTGAATATCTATACGCACTTTTTTTCCAATTTACAGAATATACAAATCTCGATGTTTAATTTACAGACTGTCGCCGCTGGGTGTTGATCTCAATCTCCACTTTGTGTATATATATATATATATATATATATATATATATATATATATATATATATATATATACCTTCACTGAATTTTTCGATACCTAAGATTTAAAATTATTTTTTTTAAATGAAAAAGCATTCTTGAAGATTTCATTTTAGCTTTAATTGAAAGCTAAATGATTAAATTTACTATTTTCAGTATTTTCTGGTGTATTTTAAAGAAAAATTATATAGATCGGCCGATTTAAGAAAATTTTCTTAATTTTAATAAATTTGTAAACAAATCAAAGTTATCGATTTTAAAAATCTTTCAAAAATCATATATATATTTGTGACACGTTATTTGAGTCAAATTTGCAAATTTAAAGTTAAATTAATCTGATTTGAAACAAATATTATTTACTTATAGCATAAAAAATATAGTATACAAGCATTTCTTAACAACGGGTTCTCTTTTTCTCATGTTTTTATTAATGTTATCGACGTCATCGATAAGTTACGAGGTGATGACAACTAGTATGAATGACCAGAATTGACATAAATTTAAGAAATAATAATTAAAATATTCTGAAATCTTCATTTTGTTTTGCCCACACATAATCAAGAAACTGTAGTCAGAAGTCAATGACTAAAGTAAACGGGGTTTACTTTATCTATTAAGTCTTTTGCATAATAAATCTAGAAAGGTTTGGCCTTTCGTTTAACCACAGATCGACGAATCTTTAGTTGAATTTCTCATCCTAAATATTTGGACATTTATTTATTTTGTCAGGATAAAGAATATTAAAAAAAAAAAAACATACGTTAAAAAAAATGGACGATATTTTTACGTACGAGAACGAGGCTTTCAGGTCCTTTTCTGTGGAGTCAAGAAAAAAATACTCTACAATACTCAAATAATACCAGATGAATAATTTATTTCATTATTTTTTTCTTGGGTGAATTTATAGATGTTATATAATAAAATTTTATAAGATTTTATAAGAATGACAGGCCGTTCGATTCCAAGTATGCCTGTCCGTTAAGCTGTCTAGTTAATCCCTGTTTCAGGTGCCATCTCAGGCCCATATGTGTTTCTTCAACACCAATCACGAGCCAAACTGTGATTTATAGAGCAACTATGCCAGTTTGTCTTCGTCGAAGCACAACCATTGACGGCATCCGAAAATTTTCCTAGATTACTAGTTCTACTCACAAGACCTAAGCTGATTCGTGGTATGGCTTTCAAGTGCATCCTAACGGCTCCGTCCGCTGGGATCAGCTCCCAAACCGATATTATCAAGATGTTATCCCTCTTTCAATTCTGTGTCTCTTTTCGTTTTTCTTCTTCTTCTTCTTCTTCTTCTTGTCTTTGCTCCCTTTCAATTCTGCTTCTCTTCTCTTCTTTCTTTCTTTCTTTCTTTCTTTCTTTCTTTCTTTCTTTCTTCTTGTTTTTATCCCTCTTTCAATTCTGTGTCTCTTTTCGTTCTTCTTCTTCTTCTTCTTCTTCTTGTCTTTGTTCCACTTTCAATTCTGTATCTCTTTTCGTTCTTCTTCTTCTTCTTCTTCTTCTTGTCTTTGTTCCACTTTCAATTCTGTATCTCTTTTCGTTCTTCAGCTCTTTTTCTTCTTTGTATTTTATATATCATGCATGACGCCCATTTCCTTCAGGAATATCTAAAACAGTGGTTCTGAACTTTTTTTCACCCATGGGCCACTTTTACTCTTAATTCTTTTTAGTGGACCCCAGAACCATTCGATGAAAAAAAAAAAAAAGCTTATTTTATATTTTACTAACAGATAAGTTTAATAATTTTATTATGGAAATAGTAAATGTATATGTTTTATTTTGAGGTAAAACTAATTTAATGAAAATAAATTTGTATTTAACAACTAAATCCTATGGAATATTTATGTACACTAATAAAATAATTCATAATAAACCGTTTTAAAATATGTAATTAATAAATCTTAAAAAAAATACAGATTTATTCAATGAGATCTTTGTTATTGTTGTTGCTCAGCGATTTTTTTTTTATATTCGGCTCCATCGATGTCAATGATAGTCGAAGATAACCCCTTTTCACAATGTCGAGTCTATTACGAGCTTTTGATAGTGAGACACACGACTAAAACCTGATTCAACAAGGTAAGATGATTTTACAATCAAAACATCCTGTAGAGTAAAAGGGACGCTAACTTACAACACTTGATCTCGTTTTCTGATAGTTTGTAATTTTTCTATTTTTAGTATTTTAATATGGCGTAGATTACTGTAAGAATTCCACTTCTCATTTGTAACAACCGTTCCGAAGTGATATTGTTCTATGGACCTTGAAAATATTTCCGTGGAACCCCAGTTTGCTATTTTTAGTGTGGACCCCTAGTAATGTTACCGCCAGGATTCATATAGATCCCGGTTGAGAAACACTGGTCTAAACTATAAGCTGTACGAGGTATGATCAAAAAGTATTGGGACTGGTGCTATCAAAATAAAACTACAACACTGGATAGTAGCACCATCTAGGGTCTCGTCCTGGGTATGACGATAAACTACATTGGACAGCAAGGCCTCTGTTCAGAAGGTTTTGATGACGGTGGTTCACCACAATGTGCGAGGCATTTCGCGTCTTAGCCGTGAACTTTAGAACTAGTAGAACTAAGGAACGGAGTTCTTTTGATCACTTTTTTCAACTCTTCCGTCTTATTGATTTTCTAAGCGTAGCTTACATGTGGCACAATGCCGAAGGTATGGGGCACCCAATGAGGATCGAAGTCACTACTCAGTCGTGATTGTTCTAGCGAGACACGCTTGCTAACCATTACGCCACTCTTTCGTCTTATTTTACTCCTTTATTTACCCACCTCGTTTTTAATCATTTATTATTATTATTATTATTATTTCCCTTGATTTCTGGCGTGTACACATTTCTTTCCGGGTCCTGCCCAGAGACCTAATGTTAAAAATGGCATCATGACACTTTCCACTGACAAAAAAAAATATTTTACATAGATAAAGCCCTCCGCAAAGTGTGGGTTGTACTTGTGAGAACAATTTTTTGTATTTCTTTGAGGCATGGACTTCCAGGAAGCCCTTTAATTAGTCTACTGGAATCTTTTCCAACCAATCCTAGGGCTCCAACTACAACAGGGATTGTTGATGTTCCCATATGCCAGATTTTTGAGATTTCTATTTCAAGGTCCTTGTATTTTGACAGCTTTTTTAATATCTTCAAAGATACATTGCAGTCTGCAGGGACTGCCATATCAATAAGGAGGCACTTCTTTTTTTTGTTTGTGGTCTTTAATAACAATGTCTGGGCGGTTGGCTTTGATTGTTCTGTCAGTGTTTATTGTGTAGTCCCATAAAATTGTAACATTATTATTATTATTATTATTATTATTATTATTATTATTATTATTATTATTCCGGGTATTTCTTTCATTTGATCTCGCCACATAAATTAACTAAAATAGTATGCGAGCAACGGGATTTATAATTTTATTTCTCGAGAAATGACAACAAGAATCTTAAATAGTATTTCTTAATTCTTCTTCTATGTGTCGTGTCCCTTCAGGATGTAGGCGATCATGGCTCTCCACAATTTCATGTCCATCGTAGCTCTTAATAATTATTGTATTTTTGATATTTCTCCTAAACTTGTTCCGCCATTCATTCACTCACCTTCTCTAAGTAGGTTATGCGTTGCTTTCCTCTGGCTCTCTTGCCTTCAGAGGGCAGTTTATTAACAAGAATAGATTTTTATTGCTTTTTTCTGTCATTTCTCCAAGAAAAAAAAAGAGAATGCATAAATCCAATTTCATTTCTTTGGGGTTTATTAAAATTATAAAAATAGTTTGTTTTTTTTAGACCGTCCTTTTGAATGAATGAATACAAAGAATAAAGAAAGAAAGAAAGAAAGAAAGAAAGAAAGAAAGAAAGAAAGAAAGAAAGAAAAAATTGAATGAATAGAAAATGAAAAGAAAAAATCTGGAATAAAAAGAAAACCTAGAATAATGAGAAAGAAAGAAAGAAAGAAAGAAAGAAAGAAAGAAAGAAAGAAAGAAAGAAAGGAAAATGGAAAATGAACGAAAACGAATAAAAAGCGAGAAAGCTAGAATAATAAGAAAGAAAGAAAGAAAAGAAAGAAAAGAAAGAAAAAGAAAGAAAGAAAAAAAATTGAATGAATAGAAAAGGAAAAGAAAGAAATCTGGAATAAAAAAGAGAAACCTAGAATAATGAAAGAAAGAAAGAAAGAAAGAAAGAAAGAAAGAAAGAAAGAAAGAAAAGAATGGAAAAATGAAACGAAAAACGAATAAAAAGCGAAAAGCTAGAATAATAAGAAAGAAAGAAAAGAAAGAAAGAAAAAAAGAAAGAAAGAAAGAAAAAAAAAAAAAATTGAATAGAAAGAAAAGGAAAAGAAAATCTGGAATAAAAAAGAGAAACCTAGAATAATGAGAAAGAAAGAAAGAAAGAAAGAAAAGAAAGAAAGAAAAAGAAAGAAAGAAAAAAGAATGGAAAATGAAACGAAAACGAATAAAAAGGAGAAAGCTAGAATAATAAGAAAGAAAGAAAAGAAAGAAAAGAAAAGAAAGAAAAAAGAAAGAAAGAAAGAAAGAAAGAAAGAAAAAATTGAATGAATAGAAAAGGAAAAGAAAGAAATCTGGAATAAAAAAGAGAAACCTAGAATAATGAGAAAGAAAGAAAGAAAGAAAGAAAGAAAGAAAGAAAGAAAGAAAGAAAGAAAGAATGAATGGAAAAATGAAACGAAAAACGAATAAAAAGCGAGAAAGCTAGAATAATAAGAAAGAAAGAAAGAAAGAAAGAAAGAAAGAAAGAAAGAAAAAATTGAATGAATAGAAAAAGAAAAGAAAGAAATCTGGAATAAAAAAAAAAACCTAGAATAATGAGAAAGAAAGAAAGAAAGAAAGAAAAAAAAGAAAAGAATGGAAAAATGAAACGAAAAACGAATAAAAAGCGAGAAAGCTAGAATAATAAGAAAGAAAGAAAGAAAGAAAGAAAGAAAGAAAGAAAGAAAGAAAGAAAAAATTGAATGAATAGAAAAGGAAAAGAAAGAAATCTGGAATAAAAAATAGAAACCTAGAATAATGAGAAAGAAAGAAAGAAAGAAAGAAATAAAGAATGGAAAAATGAAACGAAAAACGAATAAAAAGCGAGAAAGCTAGAATAATAAGAAAGAAAGAAAGAAAGAAACCTAGAAAGAAAGAAAGAAAGAAAGAAAGAAAGAAAGAAAGAAAGAAAGAAAGAAAAAATTGAATGAATAGAAAAGGAAAAGAAAGAAATCTGGAATAAAAAAGAGAAACCTAGAATAATGAGAAAGAAAGAAAGAATTGGAATGAATGGAAAATGAAACGAAAAATGGAATAAAAAGCGAGAAAACTAGAATAATAAGAAAGAAAGAAAGAAAGAAAGAAAGAAAGAAAGAAAGAAAGAAAGAAAGAATTTGAATGAAAGGAAAATGTAAAGAAAAAAATAAAAAGCGAGAAATCTAGAATAATAAGAAAGAAAGAAAGAAAGAAAGAAAGAAAGAAAGAGAGAAAGAAAGAAAGAAAGAAAGAAAGAAAGAAAGAAAAAATTGAATGAATAGAAAATGAAAAGAAAGAAATCTGGAATAAAAAAGAGAAACCTAGAATAATGAGAAAGAAAGACAGAACTGGAATAACAATGACACTGTTTATTTGTTAGTTTATTTACAAGAATAGTTTTTAATGCTTTTGTTATCATTTCTCGAGAGAAAAAAAAGAGATGTATAAAGCCAATTTCATATGTTGGAGTTTTATACATATTCTAAAAATGGCTTTTTAAAACAATAAAAATTGCCAAAGATGTACAAAGTACTCGCAGTTTCATGTATAAAAGTGTCCTTTTGACACACCGTACTTTTCTTCTTTTTTTTTTGCGGGTACGTATTTTAAACTTTGCCCATTTTATTTATTTTCTTCTCATTTCACTTCTCATTCCTTTTCTTCTCTTTTATTTTTTTCTTCGGATTTCATTATTATTCATTGAGTACCCTTTATTTAACAAATCCAACCCATATTCACCTCCAGCTTTCCTTCCCATAATCACTCTCTTTCTTTTTTATTCTTTCTTTGTCTTAAAAAGAAAAAAAGAAAAAGACAAAACAAAAACTTCCCCCACCCATTAGCACTTTCTTTACTTTCAATCATATCCCACTCATCAGAAACAAATAAAGATTTATTCCTCCCTCCCTACACACACTTCACGTTGTACGTTACTATATCTTTTCATTGTTAGACAGATCTTTATCGTTGATTTTGGTCGATTTTAAACCATTCATCTGTCTTCATTCCTCGTTTAGATGTTGTTTTTTTTTTATTCTCCCACTGCCAGCAGGTGTCTTCTACTTAGGACAGCAAGAAGTATTATTCTCCCCCGACCACAACACACAAACACACACAGACACACCGCATTTGCAAATCGGGTATGAATAAGAGTCTGACACAGTGAATAAACAGGACCCGTCGAGGTATGAAAAATCTTCCTGGCCATTAATACCTGGTTTTATACTTGCGATTAATACCATAAATCCGACGGCATAAATATAATAACAAATACGATATCGACACAGCACAAACGCCTAAGGTAAATGAGGTCAGTAAACGAGTGTCGAGGATTAATTCCGATTAATGGAAGTCGAATTTGTTGTCTGCCTGTAGCCTCTCCTTCTTTTTCATTTTTTTTTTTTTAATAAAGTAAACGCTTATACGCGCAGACACGTGTGAGCGTGCAAAAGGGTGTGGGCTCAAATGTCTTTTTAAGGACGACATTGAATCTTTTCGTTCTTTTCGTTTTTTACTCTCGCTGCTTCGTCCGAGCGCCATCTTGCTTTCTGTTTGTGTTTATGCAATTATATATATTGGCGTGCAATAGATCGAGGAATTTGATAATGAAAGATTACTCACGCTAATACGAAGCTTACACCGTCAATATCAATGTAGTTTTCTTTGGCATATGCACGAAAAATATTTCTACCAAAGACTATCGGCAAAATTTTTATTACATTTAAAAGGGGTGCATTGTTCAAAATTTCCTGAATATATATATATAGAGAGAGAGAGAGACATACACACATCATACACACTCCCAAAGAATTAAAAGATAACATACACTTAACACCCCCTCCCAGCAACCAATAAAACTATCAAAATGACCAAGAAGGGAATTCTACAACTCATGAATCTCCCCAGCCTCTATCTTAAAAACAACTTGAAAGAGGCCGTTTAATCAACACAAAGACCGACCAGAATTAACGATAAAAAAAACAAATGAAAACTACAGATAAATTTCATTTTCTTCATAAACAGTCATTCACTCCTGTAGTTCACTGCTACTAACACGCAGAAAATTTTTTTCTCCTAATTTTTTTTTCTCCTGTTGATGGCCATGCTGGCCGAAACTAGTCGAAAAAAATAATTGAAATAATAAAACAAATAAAAAAATATTAATATACAACCCAGTGTGTCTGAAAATTTTAATTTTTTAATATTTTTTATTGCTCAAAACACACACACACACACACACACACACACACATATATATATATATATATATATATATATATATATATGAAGAAATATAGTTTTAAGGTGTTCTATATTTATGGAATAAAGAAGTGCTCAATATCAGAGATAGAGCGTATGCAAATATAAATATAAAAGTGAATATTGAAGTCCCAGCACTCCAGAATGAAACAGGCTGTTTCATGCTAGACAATAATTACTTTGTATATATATATATATATATATATATATATATATATATATATATATGTATGTATGTATGTATGTATATATATTGTGTATGCGGACAACAACCCCTCTTTAAAAATTGTTTGGTTTAACAAGACTGACAAGGTACTTTTGTTTATTTCTTAATTATGTTTATTTTATGCCGAAAATAAATAAATAAATATACTGTTTAATAAAATAAAGGGAACGTCTACTCAAATATGAGTATCTATTAGAAAGAAGACTTAAAGTGATAAAAATCTGTTGGATTAATAAAAAAATCCATTCTAAAATTCGCTATGTTTATCTTGTATGTAACTGTTTCAATTTATGGGGTTAATGATTTTTTTAATCATTTCACACCATGCAAAGCAATAAAGCCACTAAGACGCAAGGTGGTTTTCTGAGCGTGAGAAAATATGTGAAAAAAATCATTATTAAGGGGAGAAAACAATAAAAGAAGAGGAATTAAAACTAAATTGAAGTGGAAAGTAAGAAGCCACACGCGAAAAGTGCGAAAAAAAACTGTTAACATAGAACTTAATGTAAAAATTACCCAAAAGCTTGTTGATTGCGAGCACATCCGGCTAAACTATTAGCATTTTTCAAGGATTACTTTTTGTTATACTGCTATAATAAATGGCGTGTACGTGCTATCGTAGACGGTATAAAAGTTGCTGAAAGCAGACATAGTCTTAATTTCCAAATACGGCCAGTACATTATGGCCGTGTTTATAACTGATATCATTACGAGTTGTTTTATTGTTTGTTTGTTTTTATAAGGATTTTCAACGCTTGTAAATGTTTTATACACAGTATTTTTTTAATAAATTCACACCAAACAAGACAACAAAGCTACTAACGCGCAATGGGTTACTAAGTATGAAAGAATATAAGAAAAATATATTAAGGAACGAGAACAATAAAAGGACAGAAATTAAAGAGATTTATTATAGCAGTATAAAACATATCTGATATATACGCATAGAAGAAAAACATAATAAAAGGTAAACAAAAAGGCCTCAATTTATCAGACCTTCAATCCAAAAAGCTTTTGGATTTGAAGGTCTGATGAATTTGTCTTTTTACGACCCGAACGAAATAAATATAACCTCATGAAATTTTATGCTTTTTTTTATATATATATATATATATATATATATATATATATATATATATATATATATATATATATGAAATGGACAAAGTCCGACAATTATTTTAAGACATTTTTATGTTCATACATTCTTTTTAGAGATACAAATATTTACGTCAATGCTCTGTTTATAATAAACAGTATTAAACAACATTTTCCGACTTTACAAACCGAACTCTCCTCTGTGGCTAAATCGGTAAAGGCACGTCAAGCTAAATGACGGTTTTGTATAGGATACAGGTTCGAATTCTGTCGGAGTACGAATATTTTCTGTGAAAATTTCTCGGACATTCAGGCCGGTAAATGTTGCTTAATACTGTTTATAATAAACAGAGCATTTACTTAAATATTTGTATCTATAAAAAGAATGTATAAACATAAAAATGTCTTAAAATATATATTATATACATATACGCATATATATATGTAGGGTGCGATGGGCATTTTTTTTAATTTCGCGCATGCTCGTTGTTAGTTTTTGATTTCGTCGACTGCACAGTATATTAGGCCCAGTTGGCCACCGTCTGTGAAAAAAATGCATGACGCAATTCACTCCGCCAGAAATTTGGAAACGGCGTGCAGTACTTCTTGGCATTCGCGCCGGAAGCTCCAATATGAACATTTCAGTGTGTTTGGGCTTCAATCTGTGGATAGTGCAAAGGATTCGTTAAGAGTTGGATGAGTATATCGATGATTACGGATGTGTTTGGTGCGATCACCAGTGATGGCGACCTTATGCCTCCATTCGTCTTCCCACAGGGCCTCACTCAACATGGAGGCCTACATCAAGTACCTTGAAGAGGTAGTGCTGCCCTGGATCAAGAGGGTGGCTGATGGAAGACTCTATGTATGGCAACAGGACTCTGCACCATGTCATACCAAAAGGAGAACCCAGTTATTGATGTCAGACAATTTCTACGACTACATTACCCCTTACCACCTAACTCCCCAGAGTGCAACCCATTATTATGTGTTGGGATCAATTGAGCGAGAGACCAACAAAACTCCTTGTAACACCAACGATGAACTGAAGGCAAATATTATGGCAGCATTCACTGACTTAAACAAGGAGACCGTCCAGAAGAAGTGCAGGATATTCCGAAGTCGTTGAAGCCAATGACGGTTTTATTGAATAAATTTACTTAATATTTCAGTATATTTTTGTGAAATTTTGGTAAATATATCTGTTAAAATGAGATGTCAGTGTTATTTTCATTTTTGGGTAATTTTGACGACAATTTATCCATCGCACCCTATATGTGTGTGTGTGTGTCTGCGTGTATATACACACATATATATATATCTATGTGCTTGTGTGAATAACAGGGTGTGATGTATGCGTTAACTTACTAACTAACGAAGAAACAAGCAGAATTATATAGTACTTATCAAACAACGTCGACATGCAACAAAAAAAAAACTAATCACTTTAATAATCAACTTCAAAAGAAACAAGTCGCTTTTCATTTTGTCATCTTTTCTCACGCTTTGCAGTTATATCCTGATGCGGCTATTATCAACACTTTCCGCTAGACATGAATATTGATCGACACAATATAATGAAAACAGAATGAAACAGCTGTTTACATAATCCGTGTTGTCATCGGTAGAATTCATTAAACAACTCCTTCTTCCATGGAGTATTGCTACCATATGAGTTTTTCTTTAAATGTTCTAAAATTGAACTATGAGAGTTCAA